CTGGTGCATTATTATGACGTATTCTGTAAAGTGTAAAATGTTTGTGTATCATGTCTTTAAGGAATACAGACTCTTCAACAAAATATTTGTTCAAAGTTTCACTGTTTTTTTTATGATTAATTGATTGTTTATTGTTTAATGTCCCATTCGAGAGTTTTTCACTCAAAAAGTGACGTTGCAGTATCCCGATGAAGGGCTTCATATTTAGACCTGTACTCGGCACTCAGGGCAATTGAGCTATGAGGGATTGCCTACCATGAGACTGGACCTTGGTTTATAAAGGTCTCATCCGAAAGACTCGTGCTGGGTGCTTGGCCAAAGAACAGTCACTACCTATGTTTACGTCTTAAGTTTGACGCGGCGCGGCGAACGAGAATCAAACCCGAGCCTTCCGATCACGAAGCGAATGTCCTACCACTAGGCTACCGTGACTGGTAACTGGTTCTGTAAAAAAAAATATAGGATATTCAATGTTTTGTAGTTGGATATGGAATTTCTTTCACGAGTGTGGCTGGATTTTTTGATATTAACACGAGTGCGAAGCACAACTGAAAATATCAAAAAATCCTGTCTTGCAAGTGAAATAAATTCCATATCTAACTACAAAACATTGAATTCTTTGTCTATTACATTTTCCTTGATTTTCCCTTTGCCTCTGTCTTTTCTGAACACATTGTCATAGGCTGTGACGTCATAGATGAGCAGTTGTACGTCATAGCTTAGCAGTTTTGAGATTGAAAACATTTTAGGAACATATTTGGATAAAAATTGGCAGTTTTAGTTTCTATCAAGATGGTTTAGTTATCTTTATCTTACTACAGGCAGAAATAATTTTTACTAAATTTGATATCCTTTCACACTCTGACAGAATATCACTTTGATATATCTTCACACTGTGAGAGAATACCACTTTTATCCAATAAATAAATAACAGTATTTCATTTTTGAAAATGTAATAAGTCAAATTTTTACCGTTTGTGTATACTCTGTAGTGGTACCATAACGCCCTAATGGCACCCTTCAGATATTGCATCAATCCGTTAGGCTCAGCTCGGTGGTGTCTACAGAAGTTAAAAAAAATTTTCATACGGTGAAAAAATATATATATTTGTGAAACACTGATGGCCCCGTATGGCAGCTCACGGCAAAGGTTAGTTTCTCAGACGCAAATCAAAATTCAAAGTCAAAAGATTCAAAATGTTGATACTAAAATAAAGGTCTTGCCACAAGGAATACAGATGTCAACATGAAAGCCCTAACACAGAAGGTTCAAAAGTTATGTCCTAGGTTAAAGATTTTAAAAGTAAGTCAAACTTGAGGTAAAGGGAATATTAAATAACCCCTAGTGAAGGTCTTGTCACAAGAAATACGCATGTGAAATATGTAACCCTTAGCATCATTCACTCAAAAGTTATGGTCATGGTTAATGTTTTTCAAAAGTAGGTAAAACTCCAAGGACAAAAGGTCAAATGTGTTGGTTTGGTACCCAAGGGAGGTTTTCCTCACAAGAAATACAAACTTGAAATATGAAAGCCAATTCAAGTCAGGGCCAAGGTCAAAGTTTTTTTTTTTTTCAAAATAACGTCAAACTCCAAGGTCAAGAGTCAAAATTGATGGTGCCCAAGGGAAGGTCTTGTCACAAGGAATGTATATTTAAAATATGAAAGCACTAGCATTAAGTGATCAATAGTAATAGCCAGAATATTTTTTTTTTCAAAATTACCTCAATTTCCAAGGTCAATGTCAAAGGGTCAAAATTGTTGGTACCCAAGAGAAGGCCTTGTTACAAGGAATACACTTGTGAAATATAAATATGCTATTAAAGTAAGGAAAATATTTGACAATAAAAAAAATTGACAATCCTACCAAGAGAATTATACAAAGTTACCACAAAGATAATCTTGTCCCCGTTGCCCCCCCCCCCCCCCCCCCCCCCTGCGACTACGCCTACTACTCTAACAAGGCTCCACACTGCATAAAAGATCCGACTGAAATATACAGAATGAAATATATATTGTGCACTGGTCTTTTTTTCTTATCAATCCCTTTTGAAAGAAATGAAACCAAAAAAGGGGGGTCCACCCCTGTAAACTTCCCCCTCTAGGAGATGAATGAATTTCATTCATTAAAAAATTTCTAAATATAAATTTATTCAATTTTTTTTATTTCGGATTACGGTTTGAATGTATAATATATTTAAAATTCCCACAACATTTGAACTAAAGGTCATGATCCGCATTGGTACAATTGTACAATTGAAGAGATGAGAGCGTATATTGGACTCTTGATTTTGATGGGCATCAACAAGCTACCAGATTATAAACTTTACTGGAGTAAGAACAAGTTCATGGCAAATGCCGGTTTTCAGAGCTTCATGCCAGTAAAACGCTATGAAAAACTCACACAGTATCTACATTGTAGCTCAGTTACTGATGACAATGATCAATTCTGCAAAATTCGATCCCTGATGGACCTGGTGTCAGAGAACATAAGTAATACAGTCCAGGGCAATACCAAACAATTGATGAAGGGATGATTGCGTACAAAGGCCGCCATACAGTTAGTTTTTTTTTTCTAAATTCTTAAATAAACAAGCTTTCCTCCCGCAGCTTCAATTTAAAAAAAAAAGTTATTAAAACTTTTTCCAGGCCATCTACAAAAAGAAAAATTAAAAAAAAAAGATGTGATGGGAAAAATATAAATTTAACAAAAATGGAATGCCCATTAGAATTAATCATGATTAGTGTCATCTCCCTCTGGAGATGACACATTAAGTTTGAATCACCGGAAGTGAAGTCCTAGTGTAAGCTGCCATTGATAAGCTGGCGGTCTGACAAAGGAACTGACGATGACACGATTTCTAAATATAGCGATGTAAACAAAATTGACCAAAGTCTGTCATATTATTATTAAACAAAATGGTGCATCTTAAAATAAAACTACACCAGGGTTCATTAAGAGTAATAGAGGTAGGATCACTTGGGTGGTGGTGGGTCTTTTTTAACGGCTTATATATGTACATAAACATTGTATCTAGGCTATTGCGTAAAACGATGGTCAGCGCGCGGGGATCAAAATACACAAAACATGGCATATTGAATGTTTAAGCCAAGGCGTGGATCCAAGATTTACTGACGAAAGAAAACAGTGAAAACATTTAAATAACAACTCACATTAAATGCATATATACAATGGCAAAAACTTTACTTTTATGAGCACTTTAGTCAATCGATAATTAATGCCGTATATATATGAAAAATAAAACAGAACTTAATAAAAAAAAAAAGAAATTTCGAAGAAAAGAAATTTTACCTAAAAGCACAATTTAGGCAGAAACATAAATGCCTCTGATTTAAGTAGCTCAGTGCTGCAGGATTTGAAATAAAGATCATAAAGAAACATTATGAGTATCTTCCCGGATGTGTGCACTATATTCTTTTTTATTTAAATTTACCCCAGTAGGAAAGTTTTAGGAAAAGATACAGTTTTCTTTACCTGGCTCAGATTTTAAGAATTAATAAACAAAGCAACTGTTACCATTTTCTTTATGCAATTCTAATTTGCGTTTTTTTTGTCAATGAGAAAAGGTAAAAAAAAAATCACTCCTCGTATTCTTGAAATAAAGCCAAAATTATAAAATGTTTGTCTTATGGAACAGCCTATAAAATCGATGTTGGTAGATTGGGGTTCCTTTCGGTGTGTTAATACTTCATTTTAAATGGTAACGTTTCAATTTTATTACCTTTCTATGCATGATTTTTTTTTCCCAGGAGCGTATACATGTACATGTTCTTATATTATACATAATATAGCGTTAAAACATGAATCTGCATGGGCAGCAGAAGGGCATGATGCTGGAGTGTCTCAATTTTTCCCTTGATATTCCCAGTGGCTCGATAATCAATCAAATCCCAGTGGCTCGATGGCCAAGTCTCTTCAGAGGATACGATTAAGGAACATAAGGAAAGTCTTTGGAATTAATTCAGGTTCAGATTAATTTAAGTTGGCGCTTTAAAACTTCTTTGCTGCCGTGGTAGGCGGCTAAAAACTAAAGTCAAAAGGAACGCTAAGTTTTTATCCATCTTCTTTCGGAATAATTGTTAAAGCTACATATGGCGTACCTGAGCTAAAAAATAAAAATACGAGATTGGGTTTACTAAACATGATATATGTTATTACGTTGAAATTAAATTTTTCACCGATTTTGAACTTGAATAACCTCATGTTTCCATAGTTCGACTGATTAAAAAAAAATAAACTGTGTCTGTTAATTAAAATCTGAATCGGTTATTGTTATAAATTTCTAATATCTTTGAAACGTGATTGATTTAAATTGTGTAATTTACAGGAAAGTCCTATTTTTATATAAAGTAATAAAACAAACAGAAAGACCCTTTAAGTTAGGTAATCTGAACTTATAAAAAAAAAAGAATACGCAATATATGACTTTAAATAATTCTTACGAATATTTCTCAGTGGTTAGAATTTTTTTTTACAGACATTTTACAAAATATATTTAAACTGAATAAAGCATATTTACAACAGGTAAAATAATACAGGCACATAGCACCAGGAGGGCCGTCCCCTTCCACTTTTTTCCCCAAACATTGAAAAGGCGCACCCTTTGCCCCTCTTTCACCTTTTGTTGCAGTATGGTACGTCAAATCATCCCAAGAGAATATATATAAAATATGTTTGTCGGAAAAGTTGTAATCCCTCCTTCCAAGAAATGAAAATGTTGAGTTCAGATAGCCCTTTTCCCCTTGTCAAAGATTATTCAGATAAATAGTCGATTTTTTTTTATCCTCCACCCCCCATTTTTTTTTCAAAAGCGATACTACTGCCTGTAATAGCTTAGAAAATAATAGAACATTCCACTGTTTATTCTGTGACATTAATGAAGCCAAAGAGATGACATTTCAGGCTTTCTGGAAAGCCAAACATGTACATATATTTATATTAGGCTAAACAGTATATTCCATCTTAACCTGTTCGCTGGGGCCTCAAAGTGTGGTTACGCTGCGACAGTGTGTCCGGCTTTTGTCACCAGTTTGAGGTGTACATGGGGAGAGCACGTGGTCAGCGACAGAGTATTCCGCTGGGCCAGGGCGTGGTAGAGAGGCTTACAGAGAGTCTTGTTGGAAAGAACTTTCATGTATTTTATGACAGTTTTTTCACATCGATAACCTTAGCTAAAGTTCTGCTAGCAAAGAAAATCTTCTCCTGTGGCACTATAGTAAGGAACAGGAAAGGCTTTCCCACTGACTTGAAGTCCCTCCCCACACTTAATAAAGGGGATTTTCTCATCAGGTACTAAATTGCTACTGGTCTATTTATTTGGAAAGTAGTAATGAATTATGAAATTCAAAATCAGTGTCAAATTACTCAGCTGATGAATTTAAATACACAATTCATTCCAGTGACTTCAAAAAGAGTTTAAATTACATGTATTAAAATTTTGTTTATAGACAGGATGGCAAATTGACGGCCACCGTCTGGATGGATACCAGACCCGTGGCTGTGTTAGCGACAAATTCTTCGCCCCTACAGGAAAGTACACCCGCGTCACGGAGACTTAAGGACGGATCTACAGTGGTGATTCGCCGACCCGAGTCCATCGCAAATTACCAAAATTATTTCCGAGGGGTCGATATTTTCGATCAGTTACGATCGAACTACAGTATAGGCAGACAGAGTAGAAAATGGTGGAAGTACTTATTGTATTTCCTTATTAATTTGGCCGTCATCGACTCCTTCATCATCTTTAAAGAAAGTGGTCAGTCAAGGAAAAAAAGATACAGTCAACTGGATTTTCGATTGGCATAAGCGGAACAGCTGATTGGAAAATTTTCTGGGAGAAAAGAGCCTACTTCAAGTCACAAACTTCAAAATTTGACAGACTATAAATTTGTACGTAAGGTTGGTGAGATCCAGGTCCTACTGCAAGCGGTGCTTCGTATCAACACCAAGGAAAAGAAAAGACACTTGCTACGGGTCTGTAATGTCCATCTATGCAGCAATTCCCGTTTTAATGATCATCATGGAATCCAACAACAGCGAGAGGAATAAAGTTATTGTTGAATTTTCAAAATTGCATTTTCCTGATTTATTTTGAATAGTACATCAATTTTTCACGATAGATATTTTGAATTTTGTTGGTATTGCAAATAAATTGCATTGATATTTATTTCTAAAAAAAAAAATAATACTACTTTTTAAAAGATTATATTTCAAACGTTAACCTATATGAATTATAGAATTATCTTGTTTACAAATGTCTTCTGAAGTTCTTAATCAATACCTACTACACCTTGCAAAAAAGGGAAATATATTTAATACGTAAAGTTGTTTTTTTTTCTGTTTTATTTTATTATTTACGCTTAACTTTAGAGAATCTTGTACCGCGCTAGAGCTTGCGGGGAAAAGGTAACGTAATATTTCTATGACGTGAACATTAAGTGTATGTTGCGTCACGGTTAAGTAAGTTGTACATATGAAACATATCAGAAAGCAGTTGAAAATTAAATCGTCATTTATACAGAAATCTAGAATAAAGTTTATAAAATAGCAAAGACAAAGAAAATTGATGTTCATGTCAATTCATACACATCTGTTCTTTAATACTTTACATCGGGGTAGATTTTGGGATAACCTTTTTTTACTAGTACATAATATATTTCACCTATTTCATTAACAAATGTAAAACATTTCACATATCTTACTGTAACGTGTAAACCTACTGGGTTCTACAAGGGACAAGGGTTCTATATATATATTTTTCCTCTTACTCTATCTGAGTTGTAGTTAATTGGATCTATGTACAAATAATTTAAGAATGGTAGGCCGTGGTTCCAGAGCAAGGTAACCTGCAGTGTGTTCCTGGAACAGCCATTGTTCTGTGAAGTACCAGGTTCTTTCACCCTTATTCAGAATTACTTCGCCCCGGTACCTCACCACAATTCTTCTTGACTGCTCCCTTTCCACTAGTGTCTAACTTCTAACCTTTGCTCTTTTTTTCTTTATTTATTCTTTATTTCCTTTATTTCTTAAAGAGTGGCTTTATTACCTCTTGTCTTCAGCTTTCTTCTCTCAGTCTCCACTTCTACTGATTTTGTTATATAGGGCCTGACATCTGCTAGCGTCTCCTTTTATACACTTGGCTTATTCTACCTACCAAAGGGGTGATCAGCCTATTGGAAAAGTCCATTTTCCAATATCCCCTCAGATTCACTGAAGATAGGTATAGCCAAATACATTACCCATTACATTACTTTATGAAATCTTAATATACAATACATGGTTTATTCTAACTAGAGTTTAATAATATTATCATATAAATATATCTGTTTAGGTTTCGATACTAAAACAACACTTACATGAATGCAAATCAGTTATCTGGATGATTTCGCTTCAAACAACAAGACTGCAAATTAATAAGACACCTATTAATTTTGTTTTCAAACTGTGGAATGCGCTTTGATAATCGCAAAATCGATGATGATGATGATGATGATGATGATGATGAAATGACAAATACATGCAGAGTACTTTTTTTCAGTTTGGAATGGTGATATTCAGGAATAATTATTTTTAAGAAGTTTGAATCGTCTTTTGTTTCATGATATGTTTTATAGCTAGATAGCCAGAACTTGTTAACTTCTTTGTCGTATACATGTACATGTACTAAAATTTACTCTTCCCATCATATAGAACATAACCTTAGAAAAAAAAAGATAAATTAAGATCTTAAGAACTTTGGTCTATATCTAACGATGCATGAGGGTTGATCCAAAAGTAATATCACAACTGCTATGAAATCCTTAATAATCAAATGTTATTCATAAAATTCTACAAAACAATAAGCCTATTCTGTTGTTGTTGTTGTTGTTGTTGTTGTTATTGTTGTTTTTTTTTTTTTTTGTTTTTTTTTTATTTTGTTTTTTTTTACGTGACTTCTCGATATTCATTTTTCAATTTACCGCAAATCTTCTTAACCTCTCACATGTTTTTTTTTTTTTTATAATCTTTACTGCAATTTTGCTATGAAGCATCTTGTTTTAAGTTGTATGTGTAAAATTATCTGAACTTTGTCCAAATGTTATTTTCAAATTCGATCTTTTGCGTAGATCTTAAGTATTGTCAGTAAGTGACGTTAAAGATTGACCGATCGTCCACTCACTTTCTTCTACTTCATTGGATTGTTGAAAGGTTTTGATACCTTAACTTAAAGAGAGATATAAGAGAAATAATTCATATTATAAAGATATAAAAGTTGCATTAAATACCAAAGTAAATGGAAATAAGAGATTGACAGATGCTTGGAAGAACAACGTGCCAGGAGGATGAGCCTTTCACGTCACCTCTGACTCCGAAGCTACACTTGATCTAGATCTAGATGTACGCACTGTGAAATAAAAATGCAAATGCATTATAGAAAGTTACATTTTTTTTATGAAATACCTCAAAAATAGACACTCCTGCACAATTTTTGTAGTGTACATAGAAAAAACGTTTAGGTGAGAGATTCAATAGATTTATGGATGAACGAAAAATGAGTGCCGAAGGAAAATGTCATAACGACGACCGTATATTCATGACGTGTTGCATTAGACGAGACCATACATTGCGTTCAGTTTAATATTCGGAATAGTTTTGCATATTTAAGGCAAATAGACAGAGGTATTTAAACATAAAGAATTTATTGATAACTTTCAATTATCAAAGATTTTATAGGAGTTGTGACCTTACTTTTGGATCAACCTTAGTATTTCATATAAGTATACAATTATGAACAAGCATTCTGAGAGTATTGCATTAGCAATACTAGTCCCCTACCGGCAATTGTAATCTGGTTCCCGTTAAAAATTGAAAATGCCATAATTCCGTCAAAACGGAACAAAATTCACACTTGATCTGTAACTTATCAAGGTAAAGTCACATACCAAAAATCAGCTCAATATCTGCAAGCGTTTAGAAAAGAAGTGCGGAAAACCCTGAAAATTTAAAAGGTCATAATTCCGTCAAAAATTCATGAAGCGGAACGAAATGCAAACTTGATCTGTAACTCATCAAGGTACACTCACATACAAAAAATCAGCTCAATATCTTCAAGCGTTTAGAAAAAAAAGTGCGGAAAACCAAGTGAGACAGACTGACAGACAGACAGAGGGACAGTCAGACAGACAGACAGACAGACGAACAGACTCAGAGGAAACCTATAGTCCCCTCCTGTTTCACCGGTAGAGGACTAATAATGAGAGTTATATACACCTACACTCCACTGTTTTTCTGCCAAACATGTTCACTTATAACGTGGAAATGTGTCATTAGCAAATAAACTCAAGATAAAACTATTAGCGTGATCTTATTGGCGATGTAGTTAAGGAATAACTGTCTAATTTTTTGGATTCATGATGTGATCAATCGAGTGGCTTGCGTGATAATTTGCATAAACGCCGAATATTTTTGGTCAAATAAAACACCCCCCTTCATGTGAAGTGAGTGTAAAATGACGAGTGTTATACCAGGAAAAAGAATTGATAACATAAATATATATAAGATGTTTATTAAATTATTAATGTCAGAATTGAAATATATATCTTTTACACTTTTCATAGGTATCATAATTCCACAAAGCAGTAAGTAATAATATTGGATTTTAGTCAACATTATACAATTATGGACTCTTTCGGTGGTGAATATGGTTTGTTATTCACCAGAAAAATATCAATATTGACCGAGGCGAAGTCGAGGTCAATATTGATATATTTCTGGTGAATAACAAACCATATTCACCACCGAAATTGTTTTATTATATAGTCAGGATTTGAATGAATAAGACATTGAAGGCTGCATGACGACTCCATTTTCATGAACGAATTTTTGTCGTAGAAAAATGAAAAAAAAAAATGTCCAGATTATAACTTCTAATTTTTGTGTTTTCCTTTTGCTGTGTGTAAGACATCGAAATGTTTGGAAAATAATCCTAAGAGAAATTTGACTAAAGTTTTCCTGCTCAGCAGATATACAGCTGGCTGCGGCCGTTGCAACCATTTTTATTCCGTTGAATACGGCTTCAAATCCAGTGAATATGTAGTATTATGAACTGTTTGCGTTTGTATAGATTACATAGGGACTATTTATAGACTATATAATAAATCTAATTATCTCGTGTATTTTCAATTCATACAATAACTTGGATGACTATAATGTTTAAGTGAAAGCTAATTTTCTTTGATGTTATGCAGATAGTATCATTACTTTATCTGTTCATATTACTTTTAAAGAATTTAAAATTTCAAGTACATTTTGGATTTATGAAATATTTTGTAAGTTTGTCTCATAGTAGATGTTAATTTGGATTACTGCTAACCACGTCATTTCTAAATCTTTCATATTTGAACCGTATGTGCAAAAGAAAATTTATAGATGTTTGCTATGTAGTTATTATTTTCACAGGTATTTTCTGCTTAATTGCCATTAATTTCAACGGCTTGATTAATGCTGATGCATACAGAGATGCAAGGTATATGCTTTCAGATATTTTTTTTTCTAAATAAGAATTAGCTACAACAGGCTGGATAACGAAGATCCGTGAATGGAAACAATCTACAGAATTTATAAAACATGATGATAAATCACTCAATATCTACAAGGAATAAATTTCATTATCCCTGTTTACACTATTAAACTGAACATTGTTAATTCGGAAAGCCCCACTTTCAAATAAAAAAAATTAACCTCATGGGGCTCAAAATTTCTGACATTTCCTGAATACAAAAACTGGATAGCCTCATTTCTGACGGATAAAAAAATGTTTATTTCGTTATAACGACTTAGTATCTCTTTATAACGAATTAGTATCTTGTTATAACGAGATACTTACATGTATCTTATTATAGATTTAG